TTTTTTTCTTTTTTTTTTTTTTTTTTTTTTTTCTTGTAAAGTAACTACTTTTGCCCCGGGGGAGGGGAATTTCACAGTTTCATGCACTGATGAATCGCTGTTACTGTTAGACTTTAAGTGAAAAAAAAAAGAAAATCAAACTACAAAAAGAAAATACTACCACAAAAAATAGCACTTTCACATTTAAGTATTGCATTAATTTAACATATGCTATCGTCCCTTCCTGCACAACTTTTGTGAATCTTTTATGCATATCATAATTTGAAGAGGTTTGTATTCATTTGTGGACATGTTGACTCATAAACAACGCTTTTGATATATTGCTTTTAAATGTGTGATCAATGTAGGGGAGCCTTGGTAGGATACAGTATTGGCACTTTTGTGACGCATTTGACTGTGTAAAAGAAGGCAGTGAAATAATCCATTTTGTACGTAGTGTCCATCACTTCAATTGTTTCAGTAAGTCCATGTGGTCTTTTCAAGTATTCATTGTGCCCTACTGGAAATGCTTACATTTTGCTTCATATGGAGCTGCAGCTATCAACGGTAAACTGTTGAATTGTCACATATATGCAACATTACATTATTTTTACAGGTGCCACATCGCAACAAGAGAAATATCTACATTCCCAGTTGGGCATTGTGGAAACCTGAAGATCCCATGGGCGCTTAAAAGAGAACTATGGGGTAAGTATTTTTCCCCATAGTTTTCTTTAGGGTCACGTGAGGACATATATTAACCTCCTCCTGTGACCCAAAGCTCAGTATATCGTGGGCCATTGCCCGCGCTATACTGTGAGCGCCGCAGCCGGGACGGAGCCCAACGTTACTGTCGAGATCCACCCAGCTGTGTGAGTGACAGCTGGCTCTGCCTATCTAGAGGCAGAGCCAGCTCTGCCCGCCCCGTCCGTTCCACCAGTCAGCGCTGGAGGATCGGAGAGGGGAGGTGGGGAGCGATGACTGACAGTCACCGCTCACTGCAGGGAGACTATTGAGACGTGAGCGGATCGGCGGCATGTTTCTGCTCACTTCCCGATCGATAGAGTCAACCTGTGACAGCTTCTTTGTCACACGTCGGCTCTAACTATGAAGATGAGCGGAAATCACTCACCTCATAGTTCTCCTTTAATGAAACAAAATGGAGAAAGAATACTGTTTTCAGTATTGATAATAGGTCTGAAATGAATATAAAGTGCAGTTACCCTGCAAGTTAGGGAGTTGACAGGAGCAGGCAATGATATTTTAAGGTTAGTTCCACTGTTGTAAGTCTGTGTTGGATGGAAACTGGTGTGTTGACTAATATGCCATGCTAGTAATTACCCCTGGAACTGAAGGAAGGACAGTCTCAGCACCAATTCAGAGATGATTTGAGGATCTACAGCTGAGTGATACACAAATAAGATACATTTCTGTTGATAGTTAAGGTACTTGAATGTATTTTTAAGATTTAACTCCTGAGTTTAGTGTCCCTTTAAGGTGTTATGATGTCACTGTCGTCCTTGTGAGATTTTGATTCAGTCGGAGAGCAGACATCACACATCACTCCCTTAGAGTGTTTTTCTCAGGCTTTAAATGTATTTACCTTTTGCAGCTCAAAATGTGAATAATAAATGCCATACTGAGTGCGCGCATACAGTTCACCTTCCTTCTCAATTTTTACTTCTGTATCGATAAGTGAATCGGCATAGATTTGTTTTGTATTTAGGAATCATATAGTTGTGATTGATGTGTAAACAGGTGAGCTCTGTGTGACCTGTACAGTGGCATTCATTGGGCTGGTTCACTAAGCTGTATGAGCAGCATATGTTACCTACATTAGAGTAATTTCCCTTTAGTAAATGTATTACACATACCTAAAGGCGAGCAATCATCTTTTCCATGAAGAAGTTGTTAAGCCATGGAAAGCCTTTCTTCTCATGGATATGTATGTTATTCCACCTTGAATTGGTCCATTTTCGGTACTCCTTACTAGGCATCTTATAAAACCTCACAATTATTACCAGGGGCAACCTAGTGGTCTATAGCAAAAGCTTAGAAAAACTGCATTTAGTACAGCGACGACTTCTTTAAAACTCACTTATACTCGCAATTCATGTGCTGCCCTGGCGATTTGTTGCTTAGAAGGCCTAAACCTATGTAAGGTCCATGTTGGAGTTTACACAGTGTTGAGGAGTTTTATACAACGTATAAAACTCCTCAATATGTTTGATTGGACTGTGGGTCCTTGTTCACATATCCTTCATCTTGTAGAAGAACAGTGTGTACAGCAAACTTTTACAAAGCATTTGCAGAGCTTTTGGCAAGGTTTGTTAAAGCCTTTAAAGCTGAACCCCTTTAGAAGGTATCAAAAATATTTATTAACTTGCCTCTGTTCTGCAGATTTTCATATTTTTCTGCCCTGTGACATCGCTGGGCTTTAGGTTCCCTTTAGTTACAGCCTATAGGAGGGATTGGACCGCCTGTGGGAAGGGTGCCTGCAGGTTGGAGCAGGGTTATGTTAATGAGGCAATTATCGGCAGCTGCATGAGCTGTGACAGGGGAGCAGAGGACACCCCTGTCATTGCTGCAGCAAACTGGACTGGCAACAGTGGGCTAGAGTAGAAAGGTGGGTGCACTTTGCAAGGCAGATCACTACTCCACTGACCTGCAGGGAGTTGTTAGCATTTTGTGTTGCTAGGCAGCAGATGGCAACAAAGCACTGTACCCTACGGCAAGGCGAAGATTTGCTAAGGGAGGCGGAGTTTTGATTGCACTGCTGCTGTGTAGACCCAGCCACCAACCTGCTTGTGGTCTCCTCCTGCAGACAGTGCTCAGATGATGATTTCAGGCTGGCTGGGTGCATTACGGCGGGCGGTGAAGGGACTAGTAACCCTGCACTTGAAAAGCAAGCAGAAGTGACTGGTCCCTTTCACACTAAATAGCGTTCTAACAGAAATGAGGCCACTATTTTTGAATATTCTGGACCGCAGGAAGAGTATAGAAGAAAACAAAAGACTTGGATGTGTGACAGGTAAGCATTTCTATATTTTACTTTTTTCTTATTTTGCCTGGAGGTCATCTTTAAAATACACAGATCTTAACGGGAGTGTTTACTGTCACTTTAACAAGCTGCTACCAGGCTTCAGTAAGCTCTAGACCTATCGAAGATGAAACCTGCTAGCAGCTTGTTTAA